ACTTCAGGTATTTGCTGAGTATGGCTTGCGACATGAGCAGCTTTGCCTGTTGATCACTGATGGTGCCTCCTACAACATCCGTTGGTGTCGGTTGTTCTCGGGCCATTACATCAACTGTCTGCACGTCACCTGCTTTGCGCACATCCTGCATAACATGTCTGAGGAAATATTTAGACGTTATCAGGGTGTATTGCAATTTATTGAAACGTTTAGCCACGTTTTGAGCAGGAACCCTGAAGCTACATCATTTTTCAGGTCGCTTGGAAAGTTCGAACATCCAATACGTGTTCGGTGGGGTACACTGTTAAGGGCAACGAACTTCATCAACACCTATTTTGATCACATATTGATATTTTGTGATCAGAATAGGTCAGGTATCAAAAGTGACAGTTTCAAACTGTTGGATATACAGTCCAGGAATCTTGATATTAAGGATAATATTAAAGAAATATCGGACTGCTATGGACACTTACCTGACCTCATAAAGAGGGTTGAGAAACGGTCTTTCTCGATTGAGGAAGCATATGACATGGGTTCAAAAATTAAGTTTCGAAATGATCCGATCAATTTGATGGGTTATTACACAAAGAAATTTAATAAGAACCTGATAAGCGAAATTTGTAACAACACAATTACAGGTGTTGGGAACGGACAAATTGATCGCCTGAAGAAATGTCCATCAACATCTGTTGAGGTGGAGCGGTCATTTTCTATGGTGACCAAAATGATGGCAAAGGATCGAAATTTCGACATGGCCAACTTTGAGGCTTACGTTATGATCAGATACAATAAAATGTGATGAGAAATATTATTTTTTAAAATCTCATAAATTCTGGACAAACATACCGAGGTATAGTTCTATTACGTGCGCATGACGAAAAATTGTATTCAGGGGTAAAACCATTATTTTTTCGGCCACATTTATCCTAAGCGCTCATTGCCTAGGTTTGGATAAAAACTTTACTACCCTCATTTACAAGGTAACAATTATATATTACACATTACCTATTAACATCATATTAATATAGTAAGGTTTTTGAATTGGACGTAATCTTTATTGACATAAATATAAACAGAAATCACCAAACCCCATTTTGTAAACATTCTGAAACAAACCTGTTTGCTTGGGTTTTTGAAAGTACTACGTCTTTCATTGAGGTAAAGCTACCTACAAGTGTTTTATGGTGTCATGTTTGCTAGCTGGTGTTATTTGCCTTTGTTTACTTTTCCGGGTTGCCCTAATAAGTACGTCATATTTAAGAGTAATAATGTGTTTGATTAGACACGTGTTTACTGGCTGACTGATGTCAACAAATTGTCAAACCTGTCAAAGGAACTGTGCGAAACCTGATTTTCTAAGCCACAATTGGCATTAAATGCTACATCCTATTGTAGGCGCAACATGTCATCCAATTGAGAATTCCAAACAAATAATAAATAAGATATGTTTTGAGGAATTACCGTTGTGTCGATAAAGAATAATGAACGTAGAACGAATGGAATACTGGCATCAGATGATCAATCAGATAGTTTATATAAATGGTCACGATAGTGATCAGCTAATAATTCCTATATTCTAATTTATCTGCTCAAACGAAACAGTTCCTTGAGTATTCCTTTAGACCACTTTGCATAGTATGCTCATATCATCATTCGTTCAAGACACATAACATATTAAAGGCATTGATATATTTTTGATCAACAGTTTGTAGTTATGAACAGTGGAAAACCTTGAGAAATCAACGAGTAAATTATCTAATCACAAATATGTCCGTGTAAAAGACTGCTACAATCCTGCATTAGTCAACAGTCATTCACTATAAAAACCATTTTCTATTAGTTTTTAACAATAAAAAGCTGAAATCCTAAAAAAACACTTACACAACACTATTTTAACTACAATACTTTATATGTTCCAGTACTCTTTGCACATATTACGCTCATAAGAAACATATTTACCTTAAAACAAACAACCAAATTCCTGTTTATACAAAAAATCATCTCAAATAACCATGGGAATTTCACGGTTATCCTATTTACTACAAACTTACAATATCGTATTGAATACTTCTGTAACCAATCTCATTACAATACTGCCTGTTCTGTTAGGTAGGAGAAACTGATTATCTGTATCGTTGTATACACTGTCTATTGAGGACTCCAGTTCCATTCTTGTCATTTTCAAAATGATGTTTCTTTTATAGTCATTACTGAATAGGACTGTCACTTTTTATGTTCTTGTGAATAACCATTTGATCCTTCTCCTATTCAGTAATGCCACTATCTATTCCCAATATAGTATAAGAATCAGTGAATTTGCACCTGACATACTTTTTACTTGATTGAATATCCTGTTACCACATGTAGCCAACCTATAACTCTTATAAATAACTCCCTTGCACTAATAAATCACACCTTAATCGCTTGATGAAACATCTCTATTTTTAAACAAATAAATCAGTCTCATCTGCCCTTTTTTTTATCAAAATTTACCTCTCAAATATTAATCAAATTATGCCAAAATCACCTTATTCCCTCCATATATCTTTTTTTCTGCATTCTTTACTCCATTCATACCTGAATCAGCCATAGAATGCCTTTGTTTGTGTTTTGTTTTGATTCGCTTAAAATTGAAACAAAGGGGAGCCCATGTTCAGCAAGCAGATTTACACACTCGACTTCACACTTGAAGAAACAAGCAAACACAGCCTGGGACTCGGTCTCAACCTGGAGAAAGAACACGCGTGCCACGACAGTGCACGATCCCACTGCCTGGCGCCAGCCAGCACCACTGAGAAAACAAAGCCAAGACAGTACACATTTGAGGAATGTTACACTGCCGTAACAACTCAGATTGAGAGACACCTTGGAAAGCTATCAGCAGCCAAAGTAGCAGACATGACTGAGATCCTATGCACTCTTCACGCCAATCTGCGAAATATGACACCTGTCCAGCAGAAGTCACACATGAAGGTCGTCCTAGAAGCGTACAACAGCCTCATTGTCTTCTATAAGAAGACTATTGAGCAGATTGAGCAGCATCAGCCGAATAAGCCAGTCGATAAGTCTATTGATAAGGATAAGTCTAATAAGCACAATAATGATAATAGCTGGTGTAGTGACAATTGCTACCAGCATAGAGCTGGAATTAGACAGATCCATTCTGGGAGAGCGGATCTGTTTGGTGCGATGTCGCGCAACCTGACGACGTACTGTAGGAAGTACGCCCTGCTGAGAGAGAGGCTGTAGAGGGCTACTTGAATAAATTGGAGGAATATTTGTTCATAGGAAATAGTCTGGGATTCGACTGGACATGAAGTCTTCTACCCTGTTTGGAGACGGCTCAAACTGCGTGAAGTCGTAGGTGCCGTTCTCATTCAGCTCCATCAACGCAGCCATGTTTCCACAGCGGTAGCAGTAGTTTGGTGCCGTGAATATCGTAACACACGCCTTGTCGTGGTTCCACAGAAACCCGTCATTTACGATCTGGTGCCCCCTACAAATCATTCTGATTCCATTTTTGGTCGCAAACTTGTCAGTCACGTCCTTCCCAAAGCAGTAGCCTGCGCCTCGTGGCGAGACACCCCATCCGTCTTCCTCGTACGGATCAGACCAGAGCAAGTCGCACATCGCCCCTGAGTGTGGGATTTCAATCCGCCTATCAATTTGTCTCAGGTCGTCTATGCTTTCAAAATTGGGGCTTAGACCACCGTGGCAGGCAAAGATGTCTCCACCAACCACTGCTGCAATAGGAAGGTAGTCAAACACGTCTGTGAACTTCTTCCAGACATCCACGTTCGCGTACTTCCTGATGCACTCATCGTAGAAGCCGTAGACCTGCGTAATCTGCCTGGATTCGTGGTTTCCTCGTAGAAGCCAGACGCGGTCAGGATGGAGCACTTTCAGGCAGAGAAGTGTCGCAAATGTCTCCACTGAGTGGTAGCCTCTGTCCACGTAGTCTCCCATGAAGAGATAGTTTACACCTGGGGGCATTCCGCCTATTTTGAAGAGTTCAAGCAGGTCATAGAACTGGCCGTGAGTGTCTCCGCATATTGTGACAGGTGATGGAACAGCAATCACATTCTCCTCCTTGATGAGGATCTCGATGACTTTGGCGCAAAGAGCGCCTACCTCGACCTCATTTGGCTGCTTGCATTGAAGCAGCTTTTCTAACACCCTCTGAAAATCAGTATCCATTTGGGGTAGTAGAAAGGAGATTAGAGAAATAATCAAAAGTGCCCATGAAAAAGAACACCAAGAAGTATCTGTGGACCATAATAGCACTATTACTTATGATGATATTCACTGGTGTCATATATGCACAGCAGAGGAAGATAGATGCGCTGAATGAGAAGAATAATGATATTGATCAAATAGTCAAAAAGAAGCAATCACCAAAAAAGGGGGAGACTGGGACAGAGACAAGGAAGCTGAAGGAGGAGAATAAGCATCTGAATGAAATAAAGCAGATTGTGATTGAGTGGTTCAAGGAGAATGAATTTGATAAAGCAGGACTACTTGATTTGGCCGATAAGATAGGGGTGCAACCGAGTTCAGAGAAGTTTAGAAATATCATTTTGAAAAGGAAAAAGCCTAATAAAATAATGAGGAGGTATTCTAAGATAGAAAGCATATTTGGAAAGAAATTACCAGTAAATAAGGCACTTGGGAACAAACCAAAAGCAAAATCAATAGGTGAAATGGAGGAAAAGAATGAGCCAGAAAGTGCACCAAGAGCCAAAACAGCAGGTCAATTAGCTGAGATGAATCCAAAACAGTTTAAAGAGGAAGGCAGTAAAAAGAAGACTGAATCAGAATCAATAGACGCGCCTGTTGGTAATTCCACTGAGAATGGTTCATTGGAATGGGACAGTGTACATGATCTGGATGTTGAAGAAGATGATCCAATAGAACTATTAAGCGTACTATTTGAAAAGTATACAATAATGGATAAGGGTGATCCAACTCGAGATGCATTAGATACACAAATCCATAATTATATAGAAATTGTGAAACGAACAGTAGATGAAGCATATTTGACCATATCATCAACAGAAAATGAAATAACGGACCTAAAAACTGAAATGTACACAGTTGAGCTTTCACTAAAGGCTTTGAAAGAGGAAAATGAGATTCTGAATGGCGAGAAAGAGGATTTAGTGGTTCAGATAGAGGAGATAAATAAGAAGAATGAGGAATTGAAGAAGAAAATAAAGAAGGCGACAAAGAAATCGTATGAGGAGAGTTCAGGTTCAGTAGAAGAGGAGGAAGAGGCTGTGTCTGAAAAGAAGAGTAAAAGTCCAGTTCCACGGAAATTTATGAGAACAGTGGCCGTAAGTACAGAAGATATATTGGAAGGAGAGGAGGAAGAAGTAAGAAGAAAAGAAAAGAAAGGGAGAACGTCACGTGGATCACCAAAGAAAGAAGCAGAAATTGACGATCTACTTGAAAATTTAGAGTTGCAGCTGTCAGACCTACATATAAAGCACAAAATGTTGAAGGCACGCATGGTAGAAGTTACACAGAAAAACTTCGAATTGGAGGCCTACATTAGCCACTATGATGAAGAATACGGTAAAGCAGCCACGAAAAACATACAATTGAAGCGAGAAAAAGATTTCCTTATTGACAGAATCAAGATGTATGAAGCACTGGAAGAGGAGAAGCGTAATCTACCTAAGGGAGAAACAGGTGTTATAGAAGAAGAAGGAGGGGAAACAGTGTTCTACAACCCAGAATCAGAAAAAGAAGATTAAATATTTGTTCATTATACAGTTTATGTATTTATACCCCTGAAATGAGAACTAAAAAACTACCACGTAGAAAACAAAACAAGCTCGATAAGATAGAAGACTGCTACTACTTCCTGTATTCTACGTGTCAGAGAGGACAAGAATGTGGATTTAGACACAATTTGCTCTCGAAACAGTGTAACATTCTTTGTGATGAATGGGATAGAACTGGCTCATGTCGTGAAGAGTGCCCATTAAGACACTCTCGCTACCATCTAAAGAAGAGTAGAGTGGATGAGATGTGTTACTGGGAGAACCACGGTGGATGCAAGAAGAGATTCTGTGAATTCAAGCACGAAAACGAGGAGAAAGACGAATGGAAGCGTGGTGAAATACAGGACTTGAATGAGGTCAGAAGAGAGAAGAACGAGATTGTGGCTGAGACCCAGGTGGATCCTGAGGAGTTTGAGACTGAGAGAAGGAAGAAGAGACGTGCTAAAATTGAGAACAGTAAAATTAAGAAAGCCAAGCAAATTATGGCACGTAAGCTTAAAAGAGACATGAAAGGAATGGATGCTGGAACACGACTGAATTTCGAGCGTGTTCTGAATTTGATAGAGGGAAAGAAGAGCGAGGATGACGACGATGCCGAACTGCGTGAGTTGGAAGACCTCTGTAAATAAATGGCATTTTAGCCCATTTTTAGATGCACGAAAACAAAATCAACCAAATTGTTGAGCACCTCTGTTCATACATGAAAGGCAAGAAGGAGGAGAAGCAAATAGAAGAGAGGATGGCTGCTCTATTGGAACAAAATGATTTAAACAAGAACGAGATCATGGATGAAATGCTGCTTCTATTTGACAAAATAGCGCCTGAAGAAATCAAACAGCAAATTTATAGGGAAATAAATGAGAACTTCTGAATTGCCATAACCTGCTCCTGAATCCCAATCACATTATCAGTTCGACCTTTTCCAATTCGAATGCGACTCCTCTCTCACCCTCTCCTGCTTTCTTGTAGTAGAAGATGTTTTCAAGGAGTTTCTCTGCGAATGCCTCTACGCCTGTTTCACTGTGGTTGATGTAAACGTGAATCAGATTGTACTTCCTGCTCTTCAGAATTCGCCTAATCCACCCCACGAAGTGCCTCCACTCGTAGTTCACGTGAATGGTGCACTCTCTTTTCTCTGATCTGCTGCTTCCAGCCTTGTACTGCACTTTATACTTGAATCCGCCTTCTCTGTAGTACTTGACCACACTCTTTTGTGTCATTGTTAGTTGGGGAGAGAACAAGTGGACTATTTGATGGACTAACTGGTGTGAGATAACAACAAAATCAAGTAGACTGAAAACAGCAAACACAATTACGGCCACACCTTACTAAACTAAAACACCAATAGCCCACTTCTCTTTTTTCACTATTTTTCCCCCAATGATTTCAACCAAAAATAGAATCCAAACCAGGAACACGGTCCAGAAAAAGAAGGCAGCCTACTCCACCACTGGTGGCAGAAAGCGAATCACCACTCGCAACCCACAGATGCTGCGACTCCAGGCCTTCTTCAAGCGCATCGTTGAGTCATCAGCTGAAATCAGCCCAGTTGTAGCAAGAATTGAGAAGCGCCTACGAAGCACCAATCGAGTCAGACAGCCTGTGAAGATCAGCAGCCTTCTTCGAGAGAAAAAGGACGGATCCACCCCAGTTGTGGTTGCCAAACTCCTTGACGATGAAACAGCCCTTGTGATTCCAAGTGGCCTGAAAATAGTGGCATTGAAGTGGTCTCATTCAGTGGCTCGTAAAATCAGGGAAGCTGGTGGACAGCTCTTTAGCATCGACCAGTTCATGGTTGGATGCGACGGAGACTCCTCCAAGCTCCAGATTGTTCAGACTGATCCAAGCAAGAGAAAGAGCAGCAAGTACTGGGGCCCTGCTCCTGGTGAGAAGGGGTCTGTTGCTTATCCAAGAGACAACACCAAGGGAAAGAACAAGGAGAAGAGGATTGGAATAAAGAAGGCAGTTAAGTTTACACCCCAGGAATGAACAATATCAGGTGGATAACAATAACAGTAGTGTGATAGTAATAATAGTAGTAGTAATAACAGTAATAATAACAGTAATAATAATTAAGAACTAATAAATGACTAGTTGCCAATATGCTTACTATCTATTACTACCACTTTCTCTACTACAATATAGCAACTACACCATTCACACCCTACTATCCCCACTTCTTCTGTCTTATACTCTGCCCCACACCTGCAAGTGGTCTTCTTTCCTACTCCAACTCTATCGTAGGCACATTCAACTACCTCTGATACACTGATATGATCTGATTCTGAGTATAATTGCATCAGATGTATCATACGACTCTTCGTACTGGTGTACTCATCCCCACTGCTACTCCGTAGTATCCTCTCGTACTTCCTCAACAGTCCGTGATACTTGCTACGAATTGTCTCTGGTCTGTCACTCTCATCCAATTCCAGCAAATTGATTAGTTCAAAACTGCCCATTTATTCTGGGCAAATAAAACATGAAACATGTTACGAAACACTTTTATGGCAGATCCATCACCATACACATGCTACTATACTACACTGGAATACTCTCAATATCAGAGGAAAGCAGCTCAAGCGTGCAGACAATACTAATCAAGACGAATAGGAAGATGAAGGTGCCCCTGAGCAAGGGTGGGGTAGTTGAGTTGGACAAGAATAGGGCAAATCAGGCAGCCTTCTCTGCCCAGGGAATCAGGGAGTTGAAGAACATTCTACGTGGCCTGACTAGCAAGAAGAGGAAGGAGAAGGTGGAGAAGGACGAGAGCAGCAGCAGCATCGATGAACAGGGGTTTCTGGGAATGTTTGGTAGTCCAACTGGTAGTCATCAAAATGATAGTCATCAAAATGGCAGTCATCAAAATGGGAAGGAAAACAAGCACCCTGTCAAACAGTCTCTGGTAACGAGGGCAGTGAAACAGAACCTGGGAAGCAGTGGCCACGGCCCTGGGGTGGTTGATAGGCTGAAAAGGGGAATCACGGAACCAAAGCCAAGACGCCGCCTCCTTGGACGCGTTGTCTACGTGATGCTGCTTGTGGCAGTTGGGGCGATCTGCTACCAAATGGGAAAGCGGTCTGAGAGTGAAAACTACCTGAGGGTGCTCCAGCCTGAACAATGAATGAATATTTGGTGGAGTCAGTGTTTATTTATTTGACCAAAAATATTATGAGAATGAACCCACTATGGAGTACCTGCTGACGTCTGATGGCAGCGGCGAGACTGGGAACGGAAGCAGCGACGGCGTGGCGCTGCCCATGGCACCACTTGGTGCCCTGGTTGAGCTGGGACAGCGGTCGAACCAGGGCGTAAGACACGTTCAGGGCGAAACAAAGACGGGTAAGTTAACGAGAGAGGGGGGAGTGGGCCATGTCCACGCCACGCGCGTGATTGCCCTGAGCAGATTCGCAGACGACTTCTACTCGAACCTGCTCGACTGGGCTGGGCCCAATATTTATTACGCGGTGAAGAAGCGCATCTACGCCTACAACTACCACACGGAGGAGTCGGCTGAGATATTCAGGACGCCCTGCAACGTGACGAGCCTGAAGTTCAACTCGGCCTGCGGGGTTCTGGTGGCCGGAACGAGCTCAGGCGCCCTGTTTCAGGTGGGCGAGAAGAGCCACTGCGACGAGGCGGAGAACAAGCGCCTCTGCCCCGTGGCCACGAAGTGGTCGCAGGGAGCCGACTTCTTTGGCGACTTCTTCGTCGCCCAGGACGAGATGGCCACTCCTCATCGGAGCAGAATCGGCGTCATGGACGCAGTTGACTCGCTGGTGGTGACTGGGTCGCGGGACAGGAAGGTGAAGGTCTTCGATCTCAGAACAAACAGCGTCGAACTCGTCTTTGCTGCCCACACGCAGGAGGTCTGCGGGCTGAGCATCAGCGGCCACCGCGTCGCATCGGGCGGAAACGACAACCGCGTCTGCGTCTTCGACCTCAGAAACAGCTGTCGCAGCCTCTTTCGATTCACCGATCACAGGGCGGCCGTGAAGGCAGTGTGCCTGGACAGAAACGTGCTCTATTCAGGGGGTGGATCGGCCGATAAGACGGTGAAGAAGTACGACCTGGGCTGTCCAGGGGGGAGGCTGATTCAGTCGGCCCAATTTGGGTCTCAGGTGACAAACATCCAGACCATTTTGTACCAGAATGAGCCCAGTCTGATTTGCACCTTTGGATACTCCGATGACGACGCCAAGTTGGTGAGTGTCGCCAACAACAAGTTCAGGGTCGTCCAGCAGTTCGTGGGCCACCGAAACAGAGTCATCCACTTTGCGATGAGTGACGACAGGAAGCACTTTGTGACTGGAAGTGGGGATGCCACGATTCGCGTATGGGACGTAAATGATGAGCGGGATGAGCTGAGAATACGATGACTCTTCCTCTGTTGATACGAATTGCCACTCATTCTGGTCACGTTTAGGCCAGTTTCATCTTCCACCGTGACTGATTCAGACCAGTTTCATCCGCCCTTATTTTCTGTCTCCTGTCGTGGCCATGAAGAACACTCACTTTCTGGACAAGCTGTTTTCACCAGTGAAGGGAAACAGGGCGAGCAAGGGAGGAAACGTGGACTTCTACGACATGTTCGAGGGTGACTGTGGTGAGACACAGGCAGATGGAGTCGATGGAATTGATGGAATCGTTGGATCAGCCAATCAGGCCTATAAGTCAGATGCATCATGCACCAATATCAGGCAGCAGGAGTACATTGCCCATAGGAGAAAGAGGAGGGAGTGGCTTGATCAGTTCATGGTGCGAGGAGGAAGCAAATACACGCACGAGAGCAGGCACAAGCACGCAATGAGCAGAATGAGGGCACCAAGTGGCAGATTCCTCACCAAAAGTGAATCAAGGGACATCAGCAAGTGATCAGAAATCAGCTGACCAGAGCTACTCCTTCTTGAATCCCTCCAATGCTTCTTCTATTCCCATGCTTTCTATTTTGGTATTCTGCTGCGTGATGATGTTGCCTGAGACGTACTCCTTGAATCTCTGGTAGCACATCACCTTCTCCTCGATCGTATCTCTCGTCACCAGGCGCATCACATTCACTGCCTGCTTCTGTCCAATGCGATGGGCCCTGTCCATGGCCTGTAGGTCGTTGAATGGGTTCCAGTCGTGTTCGTAGAAGACAACCAGGTTGGCACTGCACAGATTCAGTCCAACTCCACCTGCCTGTGTCGTGCTGAGGAGAACAGCTGCCCCTGAATTGTTGAAATCGTGGGCAATTCGACCAATGTCCCTGCTTTGGTTGATTTCGTAGTATTCGGGTGAGAGTACTCGAATGTCTCCTTTTTGAAAGACGTTCAACAGCTCATTCAGAACCAGGGCCACCGTCTTCTTTGACTGGAAGAAGATGATCAGTTTGTTTCGCATGTTTCCTGGTCCACCACAGCCGTGGATGATGTCAAGCAGTGCCTCTGTTTTGGAGCTGGTTGCGGTGGAATCAAAGTGGCCAGGATGCGAGGCAGCCTTGAGCAACAGGTTGTTTCTGACAATGGTGCTGACGTCATCATTCTGACCAGTCTCAACTCCCCTGTATATCTTCTTCTGCTCCTCATTCATCTCCACCACCAAATCACTGATTATTTTATCAGGCAAATCGGCCAATACGTCCTTCTTCAGTCTCCTCATTATGAATGGTAGCACCTTCTTGTGCAATCCAGCCATTCTTGTTATCAGTTTGCTATCATTCTTGTACTCATTAGTGGCTGTTTTACTACCACTCATTCTTATTCGATACATTCTACCAAACTCCTTATCATCACCAAGGTATCCAGGCATGATCAGATTGAATAGGCTGAATAAGTCATCAACTGAGTTATGGACAGGAGTTCCAGTCAGAATCAGCCTATGAGATGCAGTGATTCTTGATGCACGCTGATGAAGAAGGGTCTTTCTGTTTCGTAGCAGATGACCTTCATCAAATATCACAAATTGGGCTGAAATATCACTATTGCATCTGCGGATGAATGAATATGACAGAATGCGGAAGATGGTGGGCTGTTTGGCCGACTTCCTTTTCAAACTGCTTTCTAACGAGTCAAAGAGTATCACAGTCTCCCCAAAATCAAATTTGGTTTGAATTTCATCAGCCCAATGGGCGCATAGGCTGCCTGGGCATGCGATGATCACGTCTTTTGCTTCTACCGTAGCCAAATAGGCCAGAACTTGGACTGTCTTTCCCAATCCCATGTCATCAGCCAGAATTCCACCCAAGTTGAATTTGAAGAGGAATCCAATCCACCTGACGCCGTCTTCCTGGTACGGACGAAGAGAGAGGCCATCACGAAAGTGAGTGGCTGAGATTGGGAAGAGTCGCACTCTCTCTGGGTCGATGAAGACAGCAGCATCCTCATAGTCAGCCACAATTCGCTGATAGAGATCAGGATCAACATCAGCAATTTGATCGTTGATTCCAAGAGCCAGGAAGTTGATGATTCTGCCCAGAATTGCACTGGTTTCAGGGGAGATGTCCCTGAGGACCAGTCGAAGCAGTGGAACTGCAAATGATGGATCCAGGAACTCGATCAGTGCTGGAAGGGTGGAGATGTCGCCTGATTCCAGGACGTGACGGACGTAGAGGGCACCGTAGCGTAGTCCACTTCGTAGAAAGTGGCGTAGAATTCGTTCAGGCTGCTCTTTCTGGCTGTAGCAGAGGGCACTGTCAAAGAGGGCTTGGGCTGGGCTGAATTCGACGAAGAGGCGACCAAGGCGGGCGAAAAGAAGTGGGAAATCGGTGACTGCGAAAATGGCAGCCGCTGTTTCCTCCGAAAAGAAGGCAGGTCGCCTCTCTTTGACGACTTCGATGAAAATGGCCGTGTTTGCCGTGAGAAGGGCGTTCTCTTCCTTGGCTTTGATGTTTTCGATGGCCTTTTTGATCAGGCAGTCGAACAATTTGCTGAAGTTGTTTTGATCAGTGATTGCACCTGAAATCAGTTTGACCATTTCACGAGAGTATTCCAGGCAGTAGAAGATCGAGAAGTCGAAGTTGTTGTGGGTGTTTCTGGCTACGCATAGGCGGATGTATTCGGCAAAGTGGATGATTGTTGATGAATTGGTTTTGGCGTAGTCGAGGCAGTTTCGCTGATTGATCAGTGCTGCGAAATCAGTGATGCTGAGTGGCTGAAGAGATGGAATATGTTTGAAGTCGTCTTTGAGAGACTGGCCACTGATGAATATTCTGGAACTGTGGTCATTTTCCACCAGTGTTTTGATCAGAAGGCCCTGTAGATTTCTGGTTGGAATCAGGGACTCATCTGAGACAGAAGTCTCCTTCAGGACACCAAGGATGCCTTGGAGCAGAAAGATGCGATTGTTCATGATGTCAGTGGAGCCAACCACTTTCCAGCCGTCTCTGGTGAAGTAGTTTTCATCGTAGCAGACGAAATCATTTTTGTCGTAGTGGGAGAAGATGTCTCCTGTGGCGACTTTGAAGACGTGTTTGAGGTAGTCGACTAAATCAGCAGGCGGAAGGCGAGCTATTTTGGTTTGGAGGATCTCGTTGAATTCAGCTGATGAAATGGGCGAATTCGCCTTGGTGAAGTCGCTGCTGTAGTTGAACAGGGCGTGTTCAGAAAGCAGGTAGACGACGTCGACTGTGTCTATGACCTGGCATATTCTGACAGAAGCAGTTCTGATTTCAGAAATCGTGGACGTGCAGCAGCTGAAGAGGAGACCAACCAAATCGCCCTTTTTGACGACTTCAATTGCACTCTTCTTTTTGTTCGTGTCATTTATGCATATTATGCATACTAACAAATTCAGAAGCTGAGATTTGCTATGAGCTGTGTTCAGGGCGTCTTCGACCTTGAACTGATCGATGGCACTGCGACCAATTCGAGCTATTTCATCCACACTCAGCTGCTCTACAATCTGAGACAAAATGTCTGCTGCTACGCATTTGATGTCTTCGTCCTTGCTTCTTATGAGGGCTATGAAGAGTTCTTTGTTTGTTTCTGTTTTATGCACAATATGCTTAATTTGGTTCTTTATGCACAAATGAATTGCATGAAGTGCGCCGTATTGGACGTGCCAACAAGCATCTCCAAGCAATTTGAAGAGTTGCTCTACGAGATTCTCCGCTGATATCT